TAAATATTTAATAACTGTTTTGAAAGCCTTTCAAGAATTCAGAAGAGAAAGTGGAGTGAGTAAAGCTCAAGAAATCGCAAAGGTTTTTTTTCACTTTTCTTTTGAGCATCAAAATCACAAGTCTTGGTTTAATGATAGTAAAATTAGCACTGTGCAACTTGTAAGAGTGACTGAGTTGGCAGCCAAAGACATGCTGTTTGAGAAAAAACATGTGAACAGCAGGAGGGGGAGGTATGTATTTGCTGCTTCCAGCATCTGTATGCAGAGAGGTACTCACAGTATTTCGTTAGTTGGTTTCCTCATGGTGCTTTCACACACTTTGGAGAAGTTGTCAAAAATGGAAAGCAATGAATTTTGTCTGCAAGAAGGGTGAAAAGAAAGTTAAGTTTCAGGCTGCATTTTGGCCAAAATCTTGTCTTTTCTGCAAGTGATCTTCACAGATTTGTAAGGCAAGCTAGAGTTTGGCCTTATGGCAGCACAAACTTTCCCATTGATGTCTGGAAGCAGAAAGGAGAAGGCTTCAAATACTGTGACAATAGGTAGGACCTCATGGATGGGTGTAAGGATGGTCTTTCAGCTTGTTTATTGTTTGTGATATATTCTTTTATAGTGAAATAACTCAAGCTGAAATTAAAAGGTATGTTTTGAAATATTGTATTAAAGTGGGCCAGATTCTCCCCCAGTAAGAAGGGTAGCAGTTACATTGGTTTTTGTTAACAGCTACGGGGAAACCGGCCCGATACAGAATCACAACCTCCCTGCTCAAGCAGGGTCCTCCTAGAGCACATGGCACAGGATTGCATCCAGTTCTTAAACCATTTCCAGTGAGGGAGACTCCACACCCTCTCTGGTCAATCTGTTTCAGTGCATGGTGCCCTGCACAGGAAAGAAGTTCTTCCTCATATTCAGGTGGAACTTCCTGTGCATCAGTTTCTGCCCATTGCCTCTTGTTCTGTTGCTCACCACCATTGAGAAGAGCCTGGCTCCATCCTCTTGACACCCTCCCTTCAGATACTGATAGGCATTGATAGGGTCGGAGCTGTCTCTTCTTTAGGCTGAACAGGCCCAGCTCCCTCAGCCTTTCCTGGTAACAGAGATGTCCTTAGTCATCTTTTTCACCTTCTGCTGGACCCACTCCAGGAGCTCCATCTCCCTCTTGTACTGAAGAGCCCAGAACTGGACACAGCACTCCAGATGCACCTCACCAGGGCTGAGTAGAGGGGCAGGATTACCTATCTCGACCTGCTGGCAATGCTCTTCCTAATGTACCCCAGGATCCCATTGGACTCCTTGGCCGCAAGGACACACTGCTGGCTCATAGACAGCCTGTTGTCCATCAGAATCCCCAGGCCCTTCTCTGCAGAGCTGCTTTCCAGTAGGTCAGCCCCAAGCCCATACTGGTGCATGGGGTTATTTTTCCCCAGGTGAGTATTTTAAAAACTGTATGGGATCTGGATGTAGACTTTACGTGCTTGAAGTAAAGCAGTTTGAAAAGAACAAGTTGAAAGACGACATATTTGGCAAAATCTCTGATTTTGAGGCTTTGGAAGTGTGGGCCAGGTATTCTACCAGTATGAATGGAAATGGCTTTGTCTCACCTCACTGCTGCAACATCAGTAGAAAGAACCAGCACTAAGCTCATTTTTGTACTCTTATGAGAATCAGACACCTGGAAACTTATAAGAAGTTTTATGTATAATGAGAGAAATAAGGTACCAATCTAAGCCCCCATGTGATGGTTATAACAACAGGATAGCAACAGAAGTTATTTTTTCTTGTAATTTCTTGAAGATGTGGTACACCTGCTACCTCCCCTCCCCCTGCCTCGTTCAGGCAAGTGTAAGAAAGTCTAGGGAACTGAATGATACCTTTCACCTCCCTTACATGGCTTAGGGAATAAGTACATCACAATTGAGCCCCACAAATCTCAAAAATATTTTGTCTGAGGATTTTATTCTCCTCTCATGACCATATTTCACTGATTAGAGAGTGCAGTCTATAAGTGCTATATATATACATCTTTATGGGACACAGGGAGTAAAAATTGGGCGGATTGATTGTATGCAGAGTGCATGGCGACAGAAGGAGGTAAAAGGAGATAGAAACAGGCTGCAGCTCTGTGACCACAATTATACAAAACCACACAGATTCTTCCCTGAGTAACCTGAGAAGGTCTTGGGAGGTCTCAGTCTCCATGGTCTTCTGTTGTCATCAATAGTGACAAGGCAGCCAGAGATTGGCCTCTTATTCCTTTGAAGTAGCTGGTCATATAAGAGATAAGAGCCTCTTGCTTGTACAGGTTTTTCCAGCAGGCAGGGCTGTGCAGACAGGTAGTGCATTAGCACTGATCTGAACCCTGCTGATGCTGCAAGTAGGAGATCAGCTCTTTCCTGATATGCATGGGGTTTCCCCCCACTTTCTAAGAAAACAGTTAATACAAGAAAGTGACTTTCTACAGCACACCTGTTCTTACAGAGCATGGTCATGTTGCAAAATCAGGTACCTGAAAATTCTTCAGAAATGTAGGGTTTTTTTGTTGTTGTTGTTGGGGTTTTTTTGTTTGTTTGTTTTTTCTGTCTCAGAGTTACTTTTGCATTTGTTACCCTCAGAATCTTGATCTGGGCCTGAATCAGAGTTCAGTAGCAATGGAAGCCCTTGACAGGAGAACCTTTGCTCTATTCTTGCAGAATCAAGAACCCCTAGTAAAATGAGGTAGGCAGAGAAAGCATAGCATCACCCCTAATTTTACCCTAAAGAATTGTATTCTACCCTGCTCTTGCAAGGCAGTCCCTGAAGTGAAGGCATGCAAAGAGACACAGATCAGGCTGCTCGCAGTTGACTGCACAGTACATTTTTAATGTAGCCTCCATTTGAGGCAGATGAGAAGCAAGGCATCCTCACAGCTCAAAGTAAATTGATTTGGGGTTGCTTTGGCTGCCTAAAGCCAACAGAGGGTTGGTTTCTTTGAAACATAAGTGCTGAAAAATTAGCTCCAGTTGTCTCAGATTGGCTGTTTCAAATTAGCGGATGCAAAGCTCTCACTGTGCCATGGTTTCTGATTGTGGGGAGAACAATACTGTCTAGTATCTGAAATGATTGGAACTAAACCAAGTAATATCTTTCTGTAGACTTGTGTCAGGCCCTAATTTTGGTGGGTAATCGAAAGCCTGCCTTTTCTACTATGTCATCATATCACCTGTATTAATTAAGCTCCATAGCTAAAGGCTAAAGGGTTTCTTTTTTTTTTTTTTTAAGGCAACATGCTGTTGATGAAGATCTACCTTCTGTGTGCCAGTAGGCTTTTCAGTTGAGATACCAAGAAAAATATTTAAGCTTTAAGCACACTTAGAATAATGTTCCTGCTGGCAGATTCAGGGCACAGGATGGGATCTATTTCTGCTCTAAAATAAATGGACATCATTTTCCTGGCTTTAGCAGAGATCTGTTGTTTCATGTAAGGCTTTGCGACATACCACAGCTGCGCTGTTACTGGAATAAAGGTAATCAAACCTTGTGAGCTGAATAAGGAAGAATTGGCATTTTTGAGCTTCTGAAGTACCCCAGTACAATAATGTGCTATTCAGACTTACTTTTCTGTCCTTAGATTTCGAAAAGCACAGCAGTGGCTGGGATATGTTAGAACAGCTTCCAGTAGACTGCTGAATTTATCCAGTGGTGGCAGTCTCTTTAACGAGTAAGATGATGTTGCATTTAAGACTTGAATGGCCTCAAGCCCGTAGCTAGGCAGGGACTCCAGCGCTGTTGAAGAAATATCCCTGTGGAACAAAGAGAGCGTTCTCTTTTCTTTTCATACCTATAAAAATGGCACCAAAGCACTAAATGACAGTAGGTAACAGCAACTAAGTTTTTCACAAAGGTCTAAATCTACAAAGCCACTTCAGCACCTGATACCCAGCTCAGAAACATGGCCTATGAAACTACAGCGCAGTGGGCTAAGAGTATGCCTATAGCTCAGGAGCCCCAGTGAGGCAAGGAGCTCACTTTGTCCTGGAAAAATTGAAGCCCACTGCTCCAGGTGCTGTGTCCTGACCTCTCTCTTGAAATCCACTGCGCATGGAGTGAGGGATGGCTCTTTAAGCCAGGGACAGGGAGAGAAGAAAGTGGGAGAATGTGACTCTCCAGCCAGCTAACAGGTAGGACACCCTCCTGGCTCTCTGCTTGGCTCTAAAGGGCTGTTCTAGGTGTTTTAATTAAATGGCTACCAATTAAAGCTCCAATAGAATCCATCATTCTTGCCAACACAAACTTAAGCAACTTGGCTTAGAGTAACTTCAGAGGGGCTCTTTCTGTGAAGAAAGGCCATCAACATGACTAAGGATTTTCAGAGTCAGGCCACTAAACAGGGCAAAAAAGGATACAGTTGTGAAAGTGATATTAGTAATGCTGTGTACTGTAAAGTACTAATAAAAGGAACAAAAAAGGCACGTGCAGCACAGAGTGCTATTAACAGAGCAACATGCTATGTTTTATTGTATGGAGTTACAGCCAGTGTAGCCCTCCAGTAAGTACTTGATTAATAAATCATGAGGATGATAAAAACGTGTTTTGTTCAGCACAACCTTATAGCATGCAATCAGCTAGTTCACTTTTGTAACTAAATTCTAAAATAATGTACTGTAAAAACATATCCATGCTACCAAAGAACAAGTTAGCTTGCAATGTCAGAATATAAGACACATGAAAAGGATCACAAGGATCTGACACAAATAAAGCAAAGGCCAAAATATCTAAGAGGTAGAGGTCAGTGCTAACAGTAGAACTGGCTGATAGGTGACTGCCACAGTGCAAATTGAGCCTTTTGCCCTGTAATTTCATGGCATCTCATTAACATATTGCCACTTCATAAACAGAGGGTAAGAGATCAAATCTCCCTCCAGACTCAAAGCTTGTGTTTGCTGTGGTGACACAGCTTGTGTGGCACAGCACAGTTCCCATGGGACACTCAGGTAACAGAGTTGTGGATACTTACAGGACATCTGGCCCTGTGGCCCCTCTCAGAGCATCGTTGTGTATCCGCCTGAGGTTCTTATTGTCCTTCAGAATTCTGTGGATTCAAACATGAGCTCTCTTTACATCTATATTTTAAAATATCCTTTTTTTGGTTTCCTCCTCACACCTATTTTGATTCCTCCTCCCATCACATAGGTGGTTTTTGCAATACCTGGCTGGGGAGTACGTGTAATTCCCATGTGACCTCTCACTCTGCTGATGCCATCAGACTGTTATCATCTGCAATTAAATCTGATAAATTCCAAATTTTTCTCACTTAAAGCAGGGACGATCAGGCTGGTTCTTTCATTGTGGTGGCAGTATACAAAAATGCAGCAAAAGTTTTGCCCAAACCAAGAGGCTAGTCCCAGAGCATGTGAAAGGGATTTAAAAACTATTCATGTTTCCAGACCTAAACTGTATGTTCCTCAGTTTTGGCTATGGTTTCAAGTTATCCACTATTACTGCTAAGTTTCAGAATCTATAAAATTTTATTAAAAATTACGAGCTTTTCTCATAAAAACTGCTATACTCTAAGGGATGGTGTTTCAGGAAAAGCAGTAAGAGTTGCAGGATTAACACCAAAAGAAGTATTTTTCTCATGAGTATCGGGAAATGCACGACACAGCCAGTTAAGCTGAAGGAAGAGTCTTTGGTTGTGTTTGAAGTATTATTTACTGAACTGAATTATTTATTACTGAGGAGGGAAAACATACTCACAGTTGATTCAGCTTTGTCCCATTGAAGGCATGGCTGTGGATATCTTCAAACCCATTTTTATACAATTTGCTGGGGATTAAAAAAAATGTATAAGGAAAAAGGATTTGGTAAAGGCGAGATTATGGTATGCACTGCAAGTTTCAAACTTCAATGCTGCATTCATTTTAACGTCTAGAGGGTTTGCTTATAAAGAACAAGGGTAACTATAGCACAACTTAGGCTGACTCTAAGAAAGTTGCAGTTAAAATTCCCTAAGCACCTTCCTGTTTAGCTGCTGAAGAGAACTTCTGCTGACGTTCAGATCCTCCCCCCTCTGAGGGGTTTGCCTGTGCCTTCCTGGGACTGAGATCCAGAAATAAGACATTTCTCCAGGTAAGCTGTTCCTGGCACACAGACAACAATCTGGAGGCAGAAGACCAGGATTTTGTGGTATCAGCAAGAGCAAATCAAGGGCTAGAGAAGTGTCAGGTAGAAAGCAACTGCAAAGCCTGGAGGGTTCTGCTGGATTTTAGATCCTCTGTTGACACACAAATCCTCCAGCAGCCCAAGAGGCAGCTTTGCAGAGAGGCAGGGACAAGTTGTGCATCATCCAGCAGTCAGTGAGTTACCAGCTTCTCCAAAGTGCTGATGCCAGGATTGATTTGTGATGCCAGGATTGATTTGTGCACTGGAAACCTTGCTGTCCCCTGCACTGCACTGGGACCCTTGATGCCATTCTGGATTCTTGATTCCCCACCCTGGGGCCAGATACCTAAAGGCTGGGCTCCACTACACCTGAAGTCCAGCTCTTTTCCTTCACTAGGAGATCAAACCTATGAGTCTATCAATATGCATTTGTGATATTAAGTTCATATTTCCAATACAAATTCAATATAGTCACTTGCATATAAGAATTTTTTATTTATTATTGAGTCATAATAGAAAACTTGGCACAGTTTCTAAATTAAGCAATATTTCTGTTATTACTTTTCCACCTGCTTTTGGGAGACCACAAAGTGGGCCTATGGAACCTGCTCCCAAGAATAACTAAGTGTGTGGAGCACCTGGCTACATTCGATAGGAGAAGGTGTCTAAGCACATTGCTGAAATTAGTGATTCCCTTAAAAGCCACAACGGTATGTAGGATTGATTTCCCCATCCACATGAAACATTAACTGTTGAAAAGGCTAATTTAGCTATTTGTAGTGCAAAGTATTACTGCAGGCTGACTTTACACCTTCATAGATTACTTGTGTTTCACCAGCCCCTGCTGTAACAAGAGAAATTACTTCAGCTAATTACAGTTAACTGCATGGGGTGGAGTTAACTTGTAGCTCTACAATTAGGAAGCCACTGCTAAGATAATTCTTTTTCTTCTTCTGGTGAGCTCCCTATCACAAAAGGATGAGAGAAAAAAAGGATTGTTGACTCTTCCCTGGCTTAGACTCACTCCCACTTAATACACTTTAGGATTACAGTAAAAATTTTAAGCACCTTTCTCCATCTCTTTTATGTTCACTTCCTTGCACCATTAGCAGAATCATAATTTTGCTGAAGTTATTTTGAGAACTTGTTGAGAGGAAAGACGGTCATAAGATGAAATGATGCACTAATCTAAGCAATTGCTCCTCTTTAGCATCGTGTAGGAGTAGCACTCAGTCACATTTATGCCCAGTTCCTCTATTGGTTTCAGAAGGTATTGGTCAATACATAAAATCTGTGTTGAAATTACTGTCATGCCGACACATCAGCTTGATGAAGAGCCTGGTCCATCAACTGCAGTTCTGGCTGGTGTGCACAGCTCATTTGCAGGTACAAATATTCACGGAGATTTGTGCAGGGCTTTCGGTGCATGTTTGCCTCAAAGCAAAGCTCCCATTTTGGATGTGTACTGCAGTCAGGTCCACAAAGGTTGGCTTTACTGGGCTCCACACTGGTGTTTGTGGCACAGCATGAAGAAGGTGGCCTGTTGCTGCCCTCTATTGCTCAGTGGTCCTTCTTTGGGAGACCCAAATTTTGGCCACTTCCTGAAAAGAGGCTCAGTCTGTGATTTTTTCTATTTCAACACTAATTTGTGGAAGTTTTTGTGAGGATAAGAGCACTGTGAAATTCATACATGGCTCATGCTGTGCTGACAGAGGACATCTCACCTTGGCTTTCTGCTGCTTTCTGCATTCCTCAGGTGGGGCATCTCACAGCATCAACCCCACCTATCTCACAAGTAGTTGTAGGAATGAATCCACAGTTGGCTGAAAGGAAAATCTTGGGTGTGGAGAGTTATAGGAATCAATGTAAGCCGAGTCAGAAAAATCAGGGTAAGAAGAAGCATCGGTACTTTGAGCCAATTTCTTCTCTCCCTCTGTGCCTCCTCTTCAGAGGGAGCCCGTGCAGCTGAAGCTCAGCAGCATTTGATCAGCTGTCTCAGTCTGCTTGGTCCCTGAAAGCACCATTTCATGAAACTGCATCCCTGAGGGAAGAAGAGAGACTTTGGCCTCCAGTGCAGCTTTTGGAGTTTATATCCTGTTGATGGTATTTCTAAGAGCAACATGGCATCAAAGATGAAGACTTAGATTACTTGTTCTATTTTTCTTTCCTACATGAAGTTATCTTCCAGATAAAGCTCCGTTCTTCAGCTTGAAGAAGACCTCTATGTTTCTTGAACATTTCAAATTTAATTCACAGTAGAGATATATATTTTATGGGGCTTAATATCAAGATTTTTATGAAGTTTTCTCAAGAGAAGTGTTATTCTTGCAGAAGGAACTGGAGCTAGGATTATTTTACTCACAGTGTCAGTGATTCATTGCTCATCCCCTGGAAAGCATTTTGTGGTATAATTGTCATACGCAAGTTATCACAGAGTTCCCTTTGGAAGAAAAGAAAAAGAGGTATCTTTGTCAGCAATCCAGGAAGAAGAAGGAAAAGACTCACAGCTGGGCTAGGCTGTGTCTCTACTTACAAAATAAAATGAGCTTCCAATGAGAAGATCTGTGTCAGGTCTGGAAATTGTCTTATTCCAGTGTTACAAATGCTCCTAGAGAAAAGCATAATTCCTGTTTATAGGAGAAAATATTACCAGAGTGCGTGCAACAAGAAGCTGACCTGGTAGGTTTAACAGGGCGTTAAACTGTGAGTGACAAACATCATAATTTTTAATTAGGCTTCAAATGTGTTAGCAAGACCTACAAAAACTAAGTTTTGTAGAATTCTCAAGCACTATCCTGAAGAAGTACTTTCTCTCTACATTAAGCATGAGAAACAGATTTTAGTTACCCCTTTCTATAGTATCCTGTCAGTCTGAAAGCTCTATTCTAGAAATAAGCACTTACCAGAACTACTTTGCAGACTTCTGTTTTGTCCATCACTGCCCTGCCCTGGCTTTACTTTCTTGCCTATTGAAAGACATCACTATGGGTTAACTACACATTAAAGCTATTGTAAATGATGTATGTACTTCTAGCATACTATAATGCTTCTTTTTTCCTTACACTTCCTTAAGTGATTTGTCCACTTCAGAGAAAAGAATAAATAAAGCAAAGAGCAAAGGAATAGAACTCTTTCTTACAAGTATTTTAGCCTTGAAAGATTTCTGAATGCTCCATCCTCAATGTGCAGCAGATTTTTCGTGTTCAGGATTAATCTGTAATGAGGGAAAAATATTTCAGTGTTACTATAGATTTGGGAGGGTCCTGAATTTTGCTTGTGATTTGCTTTCTCGGAAAACAGTCTGCAAATATGCTACCGGGTGCATTTTGAAGCACTGTTGGTAATAAAAATGGCCTGTAATTGTCAGGCAGTCAAAAAAAGACACTGCCTGAATTCTTGCAGTTGACTGAGCTGAGATGATCTGGTTTGGATACCCTGGTCACTGGTGGAAGTGGACCACAGACTTCCTTAGAGCAGTCATTGGTAGTACCAGGTGCCTGCATGGATCTTCAGAAACTGGGAGTTGGAGAGAAGTGTGTGAGAAATCCTGTTTGCCAGTGGTCACTCAAAACCCAGGCAGATCTCTTTTAACAAGGAGCACTTTCTGCACCTACACTGTCTGGTAAATCTATGTTTGCCTTAAAGTCCAGTAACTGCAGTTCAACTCCCTCCCTATGCGTGACTTACAAAATTCAAAGGTTTTAGCACAAGAAATTGCAAGAAAAGTTGAAGTTCAAGAATTCCATTGAACTCACCTACCCAGAGCGCTCATTGAATTTTAACTTGAGTGCAGCTTGGGACACCAAGCCTTTGCCATGTGAGGCTTGCAGACCATTCAAGATTCAAACAGGTTTTCTCTTTAGCCTCCTTAAGCTCTTTAATGGTCTTTCTTAGCTTTTTGGTTTTGGAAGACAGGCATATGGCAAGCTAACCGTAAACTTTTATTCCTTCCCTAAACCCACCATTGATTCTTGTGGAAGTTGGACCCAATCAGAGGTGGACAAATATGTATCTCTTGCTTATGTGAGTAACTGGCTTCAGTGACGTTCACATACAAGATTAAAAAAAAAGAAAAAAGGAGATGGATTTATCCTCAGTTGCACAATTTTAAGCCACTCACTGGTCATGCTGTGCAAAAAAGGCAGTAATGTGATATTGAATCGGATTTATAGTTTCCAATTCCACTAAATATTTCAGAGCATTACTCCTAGTCATTGCTTTTAACTCTCTCTCTCTCTCTCATATGCCTGTGCTATGCAGGTCAAGTTTAAAATCAGTACATGTTCTGTTTGAGTAATATTTTAGTGCTCAAAAGAACAGCTATGAATACTAAGCAGCTGAATTTAAATACTGTAGGGCTTTGAAAACTGCATCTTCAAAAAGAAAGATTTTTCTCATCTGTTGCCATCTCGAATTGTTTCCCCGCTTTGAAAGCTTGACAATGCCAGCAGAAATAGACGCAGAGCTGCGCTCCTGTCACTGAGCTCACTGAAAAGCAGTGTGATTTTCTGGGCACGGATGTCTTTGCATGTGTTAGATCTCCAAGGCCAGGCCTTAAAGAGTGTTCCCTATTTTATATGGTACTTTGGAGAGAAATGTTTCTTGTCGTAGATCTCAACTAAAGCCAGCTAAAGTAATAAAGACAGATTTGGTCCAAGAATGCCTCTCTGCAGACTGTTTACTCCTTGATGATCCTAAATTATGATATGGATGCCTTTTGTTAAGTGATGCTTACATTTCAGACAAGGTGGGAAGGCTGTCAAATGCGCTCGATTCTATTCTCTCCAGGGAGTCGCTCTGAGAGATTTCACTACAATGAAAACGGGCGATACAAAACAACACATTAACAGAAAACCACCAGCAATGGGCTTTCCACTCTTTATTTCCTTTTTTTTTTGTAACAGTTACTCAACCACTCATACAAGTCTTGTTTGGCAACAGTGCTTCCACTCAGACCTCTTGGGAGCTCATGCCAGTGGGGTTTGAGACAGACCAACCTTTTGTTGCCTTGGCAAAAGGGAATGCCAATCCTTTGGAATAAGTGTCTCTGTAACAGCCAATCTCCATTTTCTCAGTAAATTGTGGGTAAGGTAGAGACTAAGAGCCAGAACTAATGTAAATACACTGAGTCCAAGCCTGTGAGCCTTTAGGTCCTGCTTAGTGAATTTATTTGCATGGGTAGGGATATAGATAATGTTCACGGTGCCCATGTGCTATTATCAAGTCAGAATTATGGTCATTTATTCCACAGATGTAGAAATGCACAAATATGGATTGAGCACATTTTATGAATAATTTTTGGATTTGAATGCCATTTTCATTATGTGCATGCAAACTGATAGGAAGTGGCTCTCTTTCATCATTATAGTGACCAATATGACTGCTTTTGTTGGTACTATTGGATTTTGATGTAGACATTCTCCTATTTCCCATGTGTACTCAAGAATAACCAATACTGAACGTAGAGAAAAATAATCCACTTATTATTAAACGCTTGTTAAATGTTGGTTAGATTAAGACTTATGGGGCCATGCAAAATTGAGCCTGAAAGTAAGTAGTATATATTGATGCATATATATGGTAAAGATCCTCAAAACAGTGGTTTTTTTTGGGACAGAATTGACTAGAAGGGCACACAAAGTAAACCTAAGATTATACACTGTCAAGAAAATTTTCTGAATATATTTTCTGAACAACTGGGACACATCTACAAAATCAGTCAGTATTGCCACGGTCCTGAGAGTTAGCTTATTTCAACTGCAATTATGAGAAAACAACTTCTTTTGCTGTTGATATAAAACCCCTTAGATCAGAATGAGTTCTCTATATTTCATTTGTAGTGGCAAAGGAGGATGCACACTAGAACTCATATAGTAAATATGTAAGTATTTCTTACAGAAATATTAATCATTTTTTTCATCATCACAATTCAGTGAGAGTGTTATTTTTGGTATTGCACTAGCTACTTATAAGTGAAAGAGAGATGTAGAATAAGTGGCCTGCTGGGCACCTGATCCTCAAAGACTCATAGGCCGGGAAGGAGCAGTGCCTGCTCACAGAACTTGAAGACTCAGGTTTAGGGTCTGAAATATGTTTCTTCCATGGGATCTCCCCCTGTCTTCCACTGGTTTTCCATTCACATATGTTGAAATGACTTATGGCAGTGAGAATAATTTATCATCTCATTTGCAGAGGGTGATGTGCTGCCAAATAGATGATTTAGAGGTTTGTAATTTAAAAATATGCATTCTAAAAAGTAATACTAAATTTCAATAAAATTATGAAGTGTTCTATTGATTTACTTCATAAAAATACATTGATTTCTACGCTGTTAATTTGGACATATTCATTAAAAGGACACAAATAAATCAAATTAAATTCCCTTTGTGGAAGGGAAAGTGTCAATGAACAAGCCATTCTCTGTGGAGAATAGGACATGCATAAGTTTTGGGAAAGTTTAGCCTCGAGTCATACAGGTACAGGAAATTTTGTAGGTTTAGTTTCGTCTTCTGCATGAAAATTGTTAAGTTCTCATTAATTATTCAGAGGTAAGAGAATGCAAGAATACAGTGCCACTGGATTCTACTATAACACTGTATTGCAGTGGAATACATGCAGCAGAGAAGCACAAAAAGTGCACCTCAAAAAGAAAGCAGCAGCAGTTGTGCTGCTGCTTAGGTTCTGGGGGAGGTCATTCCACTGTTCTTCACTGCAATGGTGCATCATCAACTTTGTCCTTTAGAGGCCATTCAGTGAAGACAAAATAAAAAATAATAAATAATGGAGTCTTAAACATGCCATCTTTCAGCTGGGGTAACAACAGAAATATGGGCAAGAGGGGTAAGACGAGCCTCACGTCTGAGTCCCTGTTATAAATAGGTACAAAGCCAAGGGTCGGGAAGCAACAGTGACCCAGTGTGCAAAATTACAGCACTTGCAAACTGGAAGATCAAAGAAAAAGTGCAGTCCAACTGATCCCCTGCCAAGCTTATCTCTCATTGCAAAATGTCAAAGAAGTATCTTATTTGGGTATTTTATAATGCCAAAGCTATCATTGCAGTGGTAATGTTTGATGACAGAAATCTATCCCCTCTGCTAATCAAAAGTTCCTCTCATCAGTTATTAAGCTATATCCAGTTCTCTCTGACAAGAGATTGTTAAACAACTGTGATTTGTTAAACAACTGTCAAAAATCACACCTTTTTGAAGGACCTTTTACATAATGTTTATAAGAAAATAAATGCTACATTTATCTTTCACCAGTGCTTTTTTTTTGTTTTTTTAATCGATAGTACCTTTTAGTCAGACAAATTTCATATTATTATAAAAGAATGTTGTTTGGGATGGGGGTTTACAATAGAATTTTTAGCAAGAAATTGAGGAAA